CCGGATAGCAGTGTCGGTGGCCAAACTGAGCACCACTTGTCTTGGATCTGACACGAATCCTCTTTCATGGATCACAAATCTTAGTCCTACTATCTCCTCTAAACTCTGGCAATGTATCATGTGGAACTCACTCTGTGTGGGATGAAAGATTACCTTGGTGGGAGTTAAGCCGGAATTCAAAATACACCGTAGTGGAGATATGCCATCGACTGAGAGTGAGGCATCGACTGAGCACCGAGCGGTCATGAGCAGATAATAGGTTTTACGTCGAACCGGTCCAAAGGAACCTCAGTGTTGCTGTAATGATCGTTGTTGGCTTCGACACAGCGCGGGGGAGTCTTGTATGACCACGCATGACCACACAATTAATACTTTCATTTCAGCTTGTTGTCGAGCGTCAGTCGGAGAAGAATTTGTATACTCTTGGCACCTCTGCATTTTGGGAGCATAGCGACGGACCCCGCTCTTGTTGTCCACACAAGAGAGTAATGCCTATCGTAGGGAATAACTACACAGTAATAGACACCCAATCTGAAACGATACCATCCCCTGGAGTATCCCTTCCAGAGCCACCCCAGCTCGTGGCATGCACTTTCGAGAGACGACCTACCGCAAGGAGTACCGGTTGCAGTATGTTTTCCGTTGCGCCAACTTGATCATAGTATGGATGGTCGACTCCCATTCAACTGAGTACTGCAAACGGAAATTTCCTGAATTTCCCATTTAGACAACCCTGATTTCAATGTCATCACATTAGTAACATTTTCCCATTGTTATCAAATCCTGAGGGTCATGATCTCTCAAAGTTAAATGGGTCCCAAGTGTGTTTCTTTTGCAAATTTGGGAAAGTAATGCACGTCTTCTTCGAAACTGATGTAGTTTATCATCTACATTATGATTCATAGTCTATGACATTGGGAAATCCCATTGAGGCTAGCATGGGAAGAGCCACTGAAATTCGCCAGGCTAAGACATGTGGTTACAGTTTGCTAGCAACTGGCCTCCTCCCACTGTTCGTGTGAGCGGCTCAAACTTGGTGCATGTCGATGAGTATGCGTGCTGCACTAGAACGCATGTGCACGTCGTTTCGCAAGCGCATCTTAGGCGTATCTCTCTCACTCCAGCTTCCATGATTTATGCACTAGGGAAACCCTAGCCCGTTTTTTCTACGCTGGGAGGGGCGCGATCTTGAAAATTGTTAAACGAAGAAACACAGAAGTGAATCGTAGGTTGTTCAGTGACAGGCATATGATGATTCGCACGGAGAAGATCCGGAGCACCAGGAATGATCAAATCTTGTACACACTACCACACGCTAGCGAGCGGCATATTGTGTAAGAAACCAATAGTTTCGATGAAAGCGATTCTGGTGGTAATTGTATATTGCAAAAAGTTAATTTCGTAGAAATGTCTTGACTGGGAATCGAACCTGGATCTTCGGGCATGTCTCGACAATATGTGGAACTCGGGTGGAGGCGGCCTTATTGCGTGGTGGAGAGTGAACTAGCGGGTTAGCTAGCTCAACAATAGAATGCTCATATCTCATTGCATGCTTAAGTGGCAGTGTGGTGAAATCCAATATCGAAACTGCCAAATTGAGGAAATTTCGAGACTTTCTTGTTAGTTTCTGCACACTCAGTGGTAATCAAGTGATAGGTGTTTGTGTTTAACGATCCTCTTGTTTTAGCAATTCCTGAGTGGAGATATTCGTGGTGGTAGAAAATCCTTACTTTGATCAATATGGTTGAAACTGATCAAATTGGCAATTCCACTGAGGGGAGCGGCTCGATTGTGCGGCCCCCTAAGACCATGCGCATTTTGATATGTGGATGTTGGGATTTGATGCATACTGGTCACTTCAACGCCATCAGACAAGTAGGTGACATGTGTTTGGGTTGAACCTGGGATCTCCCGGTTATGCTTAGGTTTCTACCATTGGTCGTGAAATTGAAGAGGAAAAGAAAGAGGAAGGAGAAGTAAGAAACTTTGCGTATTGTCCACTGTTTTCTCGCCGTCTTCTTGTTTCTCGGATTTTCATTTGTTCTACTTGAGGCGGAGCTTCCTCCCACAATTGCTATCTTATCGTTTGTCTAAATGACGAGGAAATATCCACGAGTTTGTAGGAGGCATTCTAGCTATCATTCGTGAGAGTTAGATTCGCTAGCTGTTGTGGCTTTGTGTCGGGCCTAACTACGTCATTGTCTCGCAACAGTGTTAGGCATAGACCATGTCCCATGGCATGGGGATCTTGCATCTTGATGGGAACGATGCAGTGGAGCATTCTCATTCGTTGTATTCACGATAGTAGTTCATCTTGACTCGTCTGTGTGTTACGTATATGCACTCATCACGTTGGATGATTACACCGTATGTATGCTCTTCAGACGGTCCACGTTGAAGTTGTGGCTGGAATTCACCCTAACAAGGAAATACGACGAGTGAAAGGAGGCGAGTTTGTATGCTCTGAAGAGGAGAAGGAGGTAGGTATTCTTTTCGTGTCGCGCGAAGTGGTATTTTTTAGGCAATGTTGTGGGCGTGTAAATGGGTGGACGACATAGTGCATGACGTTCCTTACAAGCCTCTCACAGTCGAATTCTTGGATGAGGTAACATCAATTCGCGTTGCGCTGCGTGAAAAAATATGACCCTTTTTTTTCAGCATCGCATTGATTACGCAGTTCACGGTGATGATATCGCGAAAGCTTCTGATGGTACTGATATGTATGGTTACGTTAAAAAGGCTGGCAGGTAGTTTGATTGCCGTAAGGTGTTGAATTTGAGAATCGGCTCAGATATCGGGAATTCAGAAGGAGCGAATGTATTTCGACGACGACCTTGATCAACAGAGTAGTGATCAGCCGCTCTTCGTTTATGGAGTGTGGCTCTCTGAGAAGTTTTCTTGCAAACTTGTGATTCCTATCGTCAACGATCTCTGTAAAATCACGTGGTCGTAATGTGTAACGGAATGAGTACCCGGAATTCCTTGGAGCGTGTCGTCACTGCACAACGTTGTTGTGCAGCTATTCTTTAGAAAGTGTGGTGGATGTGCCCTCAATACACGAGAAGTGTTTTTCTTCCTATCAGATTCTGGGTTGCTATCCTGGTGCCAACGCGAATGAGGCATTCTCATTGACTAGTAGGAGGATGA